TATGCCAATGACCTGCCGTACATCCGGGTACCCGTCTTATTAAGCATATCACAGTCGTGCGCACCGGTCGTCATTGTATTGGCGATGGTAGTGCCCAACGAGTCAGTTGCCCAATAGTCAGACTAGACGTCTGGTAGGCTGTTACTTCCGTGTCCTGTGGTTTGCGTGTTGCCCACCGAAGCAGCGTCACAACTTAAGCTCTAATGTTCACAGCCAGTGCGCTGACACTCTAGACACTGACCTCTATTGGCAGTAGTCTCGCAAAGTGACTAACTGCGCGATTATTTTGCGACACGACGCAATGCAATAGATTTACGTAATATCCATCACAAGAATATCCGTAATATTCAGGCTTTGCTAACATAGTCAGTTTTCGATACCTCCGTCAGCGTTATTCAGTATGTCAGAGCAACTGCTCTGCGTTTACACGACTTAGTCGCTCGCACTGTATCCTTGCTTCTTTCTAGCTGGCTAGAAAATACTTTTCGCAGGCATGAAAACAATATTATAATACCTCTAGTGTCAATAGCGGTTGTCTTTTCGGGTCATGGATGCAACAGCGTCAGACGGTATCGCCAGCGTTCTCGATTCTGTGCCCATTGCCTGAATTTCGGTAGAAAAAAACTACGTACATGGAAATTTTGACACGAACAGACTGGTCAACGCGTCGATAATATAAAAATAATATCATTGTATTTGTTGAAGCAATTATATCTGAACACAAAGTGGCCACTTGGATTCGTTGACAAGCCAAACTGTTCGACGTAAGGCAGTATACTAGATAAACCCTACTTTATGAATCATCGTTTTTTTTCGTTCATGATCTATTGATGTATGGTATCTAATGCCGTATCTGATACTCGTTTTTCGTTTCAGAACGATGCCGAGATCTTTCACTATAAAATCATTCCATTTCATAGACAAAGGGTTTTTGCTACGCTTCATCATCAAATATTACTTGGTTCCATCTGTTGTATCACTGCTCGACCTATTTCACCTTGCTCCTCCTTGACTCTGATTAGTATGTCGTCTGACGGCCCCGTTGTTTTGTA